GAGAGAGTTTGTTGTTTTGGGGTTTTTTTAGGCAGAGGTTGAGTAGCAGCCTGGGTATTAGTCAGCCTGGGAGTGAGGTAGTGAGGTGTCACCTCAGGTTTCTGGAGAGGTGGGAGGGCTCCAGAAGTCCTGACCTTCAGAACTGCCCTATTCTGTCCTGAGAGCTTTCTGGATGAGGGATGAATGAAGGGAGGAAGCTCGGATCTGCATACTTGAAGGACCTTAGTTAATCCCCTGGCAGGAGGCTGGGCATGGTGGGCTTGGGAGGAGTGAGAATAAAGTCGGGTGGAAGATGGAGTGAGAGGCTGGAGTGTGGAGCCTGAGAGGGGGCCCAGGGAAGGGGCCTACCTACAGGCAGGTGCTGAAGAGGACCTCCACTGTGCCACCTTCTCTAAAGGAGGACAATTCTGAGCAGCAGGGAAGGAGCCAACCCATTAAGTTATTAGGAAAGAACAGTGTGAGTACTCTTAGACCCCCTGGGTCAGATAAGGGGAGAGGGCAGCTCTCATCCAGGGTTGCTGTATTGAATTGGCAGTCTCTGGGACCCCTTGCCCAGGGAATACCCCTCAATGCTGATGAGTGAAGAGGAGGATTCATGTGGGGTCTGAGGAGGTACACCAGAGAGCTGGAATGCTCGTAAAGGAGAGACTATATTTTTTGTCCACATTTGTACATAGTAGCTAAGGAGTTTGTTCTCAAGTTTGCAGTTTCCTTGGGCATTCTATACACCTGTCAACCCCATCCAAGTTCTAAACCCCTAATAAAATCACAAAACTAAATTCAAGGACTGTTTACTGACTCTGAGTGCAAAGTGTAGAAGAAAATGTATTTGCCTGGCTGTGCAGAGCTTTAGGGGGACCCAAAAACTCAGCAACTCCTAAGGGGGTAGTGCTACATAAAAAAACAGCAATATACTTAATTTTACATCCAACATGTACATAAGATCTCCTAAGTTATTTTATATTCAGCTGAGCTCTGTGGTTACCCTCTCCCATCTGACTTTATGGGTAGTATTAGTAATACATTTGATTGTCTACTGGTCACAATACCATGTGATAGTGTTGATCACGATATGCGAGGACAGTCTCTAGCTTCATTAGGTACGTTTTTAGTATGGTGTAGTTTGATTGATAGGCAAGTTATTGTTACTGTAATACTTATACCTCCCATCAATTTTCTTGTCAAAATGTTCAATTTACAAACAAATATTGACAACTGTTATGAAATCAGAATCTTATAGCATGAAATGAATATTTAACTATTGAAAGGCTCTATTTATGAATTTGCATTTCATCTTTACTTTAAATGTCTCCATTTTCTGCTTCCCTCAGTCAACAATACAGAGAACCTCATGATTTCTGTCAATCAGCAGACAGCTATATTTAAATAGACTAATGAAGAATATTAAAATTAATCTAAACCTAAATACAAAAATGTATTATATTGCAGCTTAAAGTAGTTGTAAAGGCTCGATTTTTTTTTTTTATTACCTTCATGCAATCTATGCAGTCTTTTGTTTTAATTTATGCAGTTAGCCAATGAAGAGAAAGGGGGGCAGGGCCGAGCTGCGTTCTGTGTATGAACGGACATGCAGAGCAGCAGCTCCGGAGTGAGTCTGCTTGGGTGCCCCCATAGCAAGCCGATTGCTTTGGGGGCACTGGGCAGAAGGGAGGGGCCAGGAGCTCCGGCAGAGGAACAGAGAAGAGGATCAGGACTGCTCTGTGCAAAACCACTGCACACAGCAGGTAAGTATGACATGTTTATTATTTTTAAAAAATGCCCTAATATCACTTTAATAGTCCTTGGTGTGCTGACTGCATTCATTTTCCTTTTTTTAAGTTTTGTTTTATTTTCACCTGGTGATCCTGCAAATAGCACACTTCCTGTCCCTGGGTGGCTACATCACTCCTCAACTGAATTAATGGAGGGAGCTATGGTTGCTACCTTAGGCTATTCTTCTGATGTACAACAAATAAGTCAGTCTCTACATTACATGGAGGGCAAGGCAATTGGTGGTTTACAAAAGGAAGTTATTTATTTTATTTATTTTTTTCACCACTAATCAAAAATTTCAGTTTGTTTTGAACTGAATTGAACAGAGTATAGGTCAAAATAAGGTGGAAAAATGCAAAAGTGAGTTATATTGGTCTGATTTTTTTCTCAAAAACCTGGTATTTTATAGGGGTGTGTAGTTTCTTTCCACTGTCATTTCTGGCAGAATGACATTAGTATACTTAATGGACCAAACAAGAGAAGTTAGGATTAAAGTAGTTATGGTTTACATAACCTTTAACCAAACCAATGAACAGAACTGTTTGCAGCTTACAGTCCTTAGTTTAAAAAAAAAAAAAGTTGCCAGCACATCTGACAAACCTTTGTGCTTTTTGCCCGTACTGTCCTCCTTTGAGTAACATTGTTACCAGCTATCTCTGAAGACTACAGAACCCTTGTTCTCTATCTTATGGAGCAGAGGAGAGGGTGAGGTGTTTGTAGTTCTGTCCTAGGGCAACAACAAATATGTATAGATACAGTAAGGTTAGTAGGCGCTGTCAACCTAGAACAGGAAGTGTGTTACTGACAAGGACCAAAAGGTGACAAAAGTAAAACACCTGCAAAGTAAACCAATGCAGCTATCACATCTAAGGATTGGTAAGCCGCAATTTAAAAAAAAAATGTTCTTGGGTTACATATACTTTAAAGGAATTCTATCATCTAGGAGTAAAGGTCACCAAACTATGGCCCTCCAGGTGTTTAGGAACTGCAATTCCCATGAGGCCTTGCAAGACTCTGGACAGCAACAAGCTAGACTCCCAGAGGCACGATGGGACTTGTAGTACTTCAGCAGCTGGAGGGCCACAGTTGGGAGACCCCTGAAGGTTTGCGCCAAATTGCCCCTGCAAAAGAAGATAACATTTATTTACCCCTACAGTGAGTAGTACTTCCACTCTTAGCGCCCTACATCAGTATAGAACAGCCCTAGAAATTTCCACTCACCTGCTCGCTTTAGGCAAGTGGAAATAAGTTGAGGGCGAGTGTGGAGCTGCATCGGAGGGGGGCACAGGTGCCTTGGGCAGGCAGGGTTGAACAGGAGCTGATTTCCCTCCCAGTCTCCACCCCCTGTCATTCTATTAGCAAAGAATGAATATAGTGTGGAGCTGTATTGTGGAGGGAGGGGGGGGGGGGGGGGGGGGGGAGACGCAGCCAGCAGGTGGGGTTGAATGGGAACCAATTCTCCTCCCAGTCTCTGCTTCCGTCATCCTCTTAGCAGGGCCTGGCATACAACAGGAGTGGGCGAAGAACTTGATAAGGCAGGGGCTGGCAGGGAGGGAGCTGCCAAAGTTTACTTTTCCTATTAACTAGCTGGTGATTTGTTGCTTGGACTGCTTGGACTACCTAGCAACCAATCACCAGCTAATTAATAAGAAAAGTAACTGTGGCAGCTCCCACTCCCCTGCCCAGTGCTGTGCTTATCGTAAATAAGTGAGTAATTCATTGGTTTAAAATTTGTTAATGCTATATTGGCTGTGAGGGGGAGGAGCGTGTGAAGGGGGGTAGGGGACGTGGTTGTGGGGGGGGGCATGTTTAGGTAGGGGCAGGGTAGGGGTTGGGTTGAGCAACTTGTGGCAAGTAACTTAAGGCCTGGCTAGTAGCTCAGGTCTTGAAATTTTGAGCCCTGGTACAGAACACAATAGTGATGTAAGGGCTAGTGGATGGAACCACAGCGCACAGTAAAAGATTCAGTATCTGACATTCCCAAAAGAATCAGATGGGAAGATTCTGGAAGAGGCTAGAGCACTTTCAGAGAGCAAAGATCGAAGGCATTACCTGTGAAAAGGTATGTATTATTTATCATCTTTTGCAGGGGGGATGTTAAAGAAAATCTGGTGACAGGGTGGCTTTAATAGGGAAAATAAGCATCTAATTCACACATGCTTGCTCATTGGCCCCCTCCCAGGATCCTGCATCCCAGCCTCTCACGCCATCTTCCACTTGAACGCTCCTACTGCTGAACAGGATCAGACACACTTAAGGGCTGCCCTGGCCCCATGCCAAGCCTCCTGCCTGGGGATTGGCCAGAGTCCCTTAAGTATGCAGATCAGCTCCTCCTCACCCCCATCCACTGAGTTCTAGAGTCTTCTCCAAGTCTGTAGATGGGGGGGGGGGGGGTATCAGGGAACTGTCCTGCAGAGCACTCAGCCCTGACCCAAAGGTGACCTGGCTGACTCATGCCCAGGCTGCTACTCAGCCTTCCTCTCTAGAAAATCTAGCTAGCTTCCCCTAGCTACCCAACATTTCATATTTCTGATATGTGCCTGTTATACCATTTACTAGTATGAAAAAGTATCCTGTTCTCTTTGTATTGCTTCCTTTGTGTGAAATCCCTGGTGTTCCTGCCAGTCCTCCTGCATTCCTATCAAAAACTGACCACACTAGCCATAAGAGCACAGCTCGGTGAGTTTCCTGGCTGTGCTGGGAGGTAATCCAGTGATCAGGTTTGTTCTGACACGCCCCCCACCTCTCCACCCCCATACAGCCATTCATTGGGAAGATCAGTGTACTGCTGTTTCTCCTCCCCCAGCTTCTTACATAGCTGACAACAGAGGGTATGTGAACACCTATAAAATGGGTAAAAGGGTGGGGTTTTTGTATTTTTTTTATATATGTATACACAAATGCTTTGCTTTTAATTTATTTTTAACTGAATGGGCTGTTTTACAAGGTGAGGGTTCATCTATACTTTAAATAGAGGATCATTTCTCCCAAAAAAGGGGAGAAATTGGGTCAGAATTGCAGTTTGTCATAGCCATTTTTATTTGTTAATCCAGAGTCTTCAAGTGTTCATGTAGCCATTTCCCCTTTATTTCTTCTTGCTTACTTTGCATAATACAAAAATATATATTTTTTTTACAGAACTTGTGGGTTTCAATAGCAAGAACAAGACTAAACCTTAAATAGCCCACTATAAATGCTAGTTTGGTATACTGTATATGGCAGGTACCCTATTGTAGTTTAAATCTTACCATTCTTGAATTATAGATAGGAGACTTCAGAGGCAAGTTAATTGGACAATTAATTCTTTTTTCCTTCTGGCGACGATTGCAGAACCAAACCCGTACCACTTCCTTCTCCATAGCCAACTGTTCAGCTATCATGCTGATTTCCTCTGAGCTGGGTTTTGGGTTCTGGAAGAGGAAATTGACCATGTATGTACAGGTAACTGACAGGAAATACAGAATACAGAGACTCACAAAATATTATATACTCACATCTTGAAACCGTTTCTCCAAAGTCAGACGTATGTTAGTCTCTATACTTGTCCTTTTTTTCCTTTTCCGTCCAAACATCTCACTTAATTGTGGATATGTGCTGTTTTGTGTCATAGCGGAATCAGATGGAGCAGATTCTAAAAGGCCAAAGATAAGTATAAGTATAAGTATATCTGTCCCCATTTGGCATCTGTACTTTATGCACACTACATTATGTAAAATATAAATGTAATGTTTGAAATTTCATCTGTACATAATCATACGTGTATTACCTGCATCACTTAGCCATTTCTCCAAAAGAGGTTTCAGCTTACACATGTTTTTAAAGCTGAGGTTCAGAGCTTCAAATCGAGATATTGTTGTTTGGCTAAAATCGTTTCCATATAACTTCCCCATAGCCAGGCCAACATCACCCTGTTACCATAAAAAAACAAACAAACAAAAAAAAAACAAAAAAAAAAAAACAACACATTTTTATGTGCATTGTGTGAATATTTGAAATATATATAGTCATAATTGCACATTATCTGGTCTGCTATCTAGCTATTAATTACATCTTGATATGTAATAAATGAGTTGATCAAAACGTACTGTCAATGAAGATTCTTTTTATTTTGCACTGGGCTGCTGACTCTCAGGCATTTTCAGATCACCCAGCTTGTATATTGTACAGTGTTGTGATCCTAGAATCTGAGGGAACTATCAGGTTTTGATAACTCAGCAAAGTTTTGGAGCCACACACCAGGGCCAGATCAAGTGGGTGGGGACAGAAGAGGCACGTGCCCTGGGCGCAATTATTTTATGTAGAGGATGGGAGGGCTTATGTCCATGGCATTCTGCTGCAGCCTCACTGACAGGAGAGTCAGAATGAACAGGGGCCTTGATAGCTACATTTGAACCTGGCTAGAAGAGAACACCTCTAGTTCAGACCAAGGGACTGCCAGCCAGGTAAGCACTCTCTTCTAGTTCAGGCTGCATTGAGCTATTGCTCTAGGGAAACTGTCTAGGCTTTGGGTTGGACCTGCAGACAAAAACTAATTGAGGCAGACTGGGTGAATTTAGCTACAAGTCCATTTCTAGACACAGAAGACCCCAACCTCTCAGCTCCCCTGCTTTTCTTTATCATACTGACACAGATGCCATAGCAATTTGACTCAGACTGTCACCACTGGCACAGCAGCAATTTTTTCCTACCATAAAATAATGCATTGGTATTTCTCCTTTTGAGCCAGCCATGCATAGATGGTTCGAATCTGGGTTGGTTCAGCAGGGAACGGCCAATTTATGTATGGGCAGGCTGAGTGTACCCAAGTCAATCGACTTGGGTACAACCAGCACATCGGATTTCTAGAATGCGATTACTGCCAGTGGCTATAGCCACTAGCAAGAATCATTATGTTCACCCCGCACCCTCCTCACTACTGGGAGAAAACAATAGCTTCGTGGGAAGGATTGCTCCACAAACACTGACTGTGTTGATGGAGGAATCAAGCAATTTTCTTTCTTGCAACCAACGGCTGCAGGAAAGAAAATCGTATAATCCATGGCCTGCCTTAGCGACACCATCACCGCAGGAACATTTGTTCTGTCCAATAACACCATGAATGCATGAACATTTGTTCCTTCCAATGGCATCTCGATGCAAGGACATTTTTTTCCATGCCAACGACATGTTGCAGGGACACCACCAATACAGGGACATTTTTTCCTTATTGTGAAATCACCAACACAGCGAATCTTTTTCCTTCCAGTGACACCGACGCAGGGACATTTTTTCCTAAGCTGATATTACTGATACAGGAATATTTTTCCTTATATCAATGTTGGCCTTTTTTTCCCCTTGAAATTGTTAGCCCTATATTTTTCTGATGGGACAGAGTGTGCACTCTTCAGTACGCTGTGGTGTTTCACAACCATTAACACTATTTTATTGCATGACACGACCATTACATGCAGTTGGTCTCCAAGCTGTGTGCACCGTTATGAGTCCCTCCAACTATTCTATCCAGTGGCTGCAGTTTGCCATCTTTGCCCTGGGCACTGGATGACCTTGGCTTGCACTTGCAAGAGGTAAAATTAACTTTATTGTTCAGCACATGGATCGTTCAGACACAGGCTCTATAAATAAGCCCCCCGTAGGCAGCAAAATATGCTCAAAGAAGGATCCTGGGTTGAGCGTTTGTGCTGAGCAGCAGGGCCAGTGCTTCCACTAGGCAGCCGCCTAGGGCACATTACCACCTAGGGGCGCCTGGGCGCAGCACACGCTAGCACTGTGTGAGACGCTGCTACGTCATGAATAATCCTTCAGCTGAGGGGAGGAAAAAATGACAGAGGAAGATGCCAGATGTCTGGGGCCAGTGTAGCAGCTGAGCTGCTGCTCTTTCCAGTGTTCCTCTTAGACTCAGTCCCTTATTGCAAGTTGGCTGGCAGCTGCTGATCACTGTGGCATTTCAGCCCTTCTGTTCAAATAAGTTGGTGCAGAGCTAAATAGTAATACATATTAATAAACATACTGCCATGCAATTTCAAATAAATGTGGATAGGTGATATCACCTTAAGGTGATTAATCGTGATATATAGTTCAAAATAATCGTGTGGATCAATCAGAGATCACAATTCCAAAGTGTGTGGACGTCCTGATCCGGGAGTGACAACAGGTGCAAGCCACACGAATGGGTAAAAAACGCACTCACCAGATGTGCGTTTAGAATGCACAATAATAAATCCTGCGTCATCAGGTTATAGAAAGGTCATCAGATCTCGGGTCAGGTTACCATACGAGTCACTATCCCAGCTCCACAGAAAAGGTCACCAGAAACCGCTACCAGGTATCACCATCAGGGTCATCTATCCTCCAAAAGGGCACTGTGAATGATGACACTCACACAGAGTGCCCAATGAGAGACCACATAGTGTGATATTGCTTAAGGTACCTTTTTATTCAAGGATAATAGGTGCAATGGTAAAAACAAACTTTCAAAAAGTTCCAAAAGTTACTGACCATGTATTCAGGGTATGCTGTGGTTAGATGTCCAGTTGCTGTTGCCCCCCTGATGCGTTTCGTGCATTGCACATAGTCATAGGGATAAGGGCTTACAGCCTGGGCATCTGTGCTAGTGCTATTTATATTCTGCAGTGAAAAACGATTTGAAGCGCCTGCCATCTTGCCGGCTATCGGCGCATGCGCAGATAATCGGCGCCATCTTGCCGACCTACAGCGCATGCGCGGACCGCCGGCGCCATTTTGTTGTGGATCCTATATGTGATCCCTTACTTAGAAAACAGTCTCCTCTAATGCGGTGCGGCCATTTTATCGGCAGTACTCCAAGGACAACGGAGAGGAAGCACAGGTCTTTGTCATGAACTGTGCATATAATGGGAAGAGAGACTCCATACAAAAATATCCATCATTAGAGATGAAAGCCTTTATAAAGCTATGGTAATAATAGGGTATTTGCTAATAATCCCCTATGGGCACAAATAATGTGCAAAGCCCACCCTATTTACACATAAATACCAATATGTATTATGTGTAATTAGATGAATATATCAATATGTAAATTTATAAATAAGTCCACATCTTATTTCTTCCCCTTAAAATAATAAGCATAAGACAAAAATAAAAATATAAATAGCACAATTAATGTAATACATATAAATATAATACAGATACATGGTCAGATAAAAATTACACGCATAAAACTGAAATACAAAGTCAAAAGATAAAATATCAACATAAATCAGGTTTAGGCTTTTTGTAAAGACCCCTGCCTACCTAAAGGACACAAAACAAGTACTCCAGGATATTAGTAACATTACCACAAATGAGTGTACTTTTCTTGTCACAGCGGATGTGGCATCTTTGTACACGAACATAAAACATTCAGATGGGATGGAGGCTGTTGAATTTTTCTTAAATAATTTTAACCATATGTCAGATCTACAGAGGGATTTCATTTTAACTTTACTAGACTTCGCAATGACGAGGAATTATTTCTGGTTTGGCCATAAATTTTATCTGCAAACAAAGGGCGTAGCCATGGGGGCAAAATTTGCCCCCAGCCTGGCGAACCTCTTTATGGCCAGGTGGGAGGAGGAGGATGTCATCTATGCAAGAGAGTGGCCGGAACTCTCTTTTTATCGTAGATATATAGATGACATCCTCCTCATTTGGAACGGTGAAGAACAAGCATTATTAAACTTTTTCACCACTTTGAATTTTAATTCTTCAAACATTACGCTCACGTTTGAATACAGTCGGGTTAGTGTCAATTTCCTAGATTTAGTATTAATGAATCACAATGGTAAAATAGAGACGGAAACTTACTTCAAACCAACAGACAGAAATGGTTACATTTCAACGGACAGCTGCCACCACCCCGTTTGGTTACGCAATATTCCAAAGGGGCAGTTTTCCAGAATCAAACGCAACTGTACCAAAGTAGATGCATACTATAAGAAAGCAGTAATCAAAGGGAAGTTTGTTGAGAAAGGGTATGATGAATCTACCCTGAACCATACCATTGACATCATAGGGAAATCTGACAGAGATTTGATGTTGAATACCATTTCTACACAAAAAAAAAAGCGGATATGCCCTTTCATAACTAACTATTCCACACAATATAAAAAGATAGCCAGTATTATTAATAATAAGTGGAAGATTTTGATGACTGATCCAATTCTGAGTACTATATTACCAGAGAAACCGGAAATCATTTTCCGGAAAGTGACATCACTCAGGAATAAAATTGCCCCCAATATAGTAGATCCTCCTAAAAGCATAACTATGATCACTAACCTAAAAGGTTTTTACCCATGTTAAAAAATGTGTCATCTGCCGATGTAGTAAATATACGAATAAGAGTAATTATTTCTTATCTACAGCAAGAGGCAAACATCATATTATTGAGGATTTTATTACTTGTACAAGCAGATTCGTAGTGTACTTGCTCCAATGCCCTTGCAACCTTCAATATGTTGGACGCACTACTAGACGCCTCAGGGACAGATTAAAAGGAGCATGTCAATAACATAAAAAAGGGGTATAGGGAACATTCGTTGTCGCATCATTACAAGATCCATCATAACAAAGATCCATCGTCTCTCAGATTTATGGGCATAGGCATTATCAATGCCCACTGGCGAGGAACAAATAAAAAACGAGCAGTGTCACAGCTCGAATCGAGATGGATCTATGAACTAGGCTCCCTACACCCCAGAGGATTGAACATAGACTTTGATCTAAACTGCTTTCTGGATAATAGCTAGGATGAATAGGGCGTATAGTTAGTATTCTTCTGTTTTCCATATGTATATATATTGAGATTCATATATTTTAATGACACCGCTGTATCCAATTAGTTACATTTTGGTGTTAATATTATGTATTCCTCGTCATTGCTTTTAATTGGCTCATTGTTTTATTACTTATTGTCTATTATATGTATTTTGTGTTTTTAATCCGGATTTTTATCTGATGTATTTTTATCTGATGCATTTTTAACCTGATTTATGTTGATATTTTATCTTTTGACTTTGTATTTCAGTTTTATACGTGTAATTTTTATCTGACCATGTATCTGTATTATATTTTTATATATATGTATTACATTAATTGTGCTATTTATATTTTTATTTTTGTCTTATGCTTATTATTTTAAGGGGAAGAAATAAGATGTGGACTTATTTATACATTTACATATTGATATATTCATCTAATTACACATAATACATATTGGTATTTATGTGTAAATAGGGTGGGCTTTGCACATTATTTGTGCCCATAGGGGATTATTAGCAAATACCCTATTATTACCATAGCTTTATAAAGGCTTTCATCTCTAATGATGGATATTTTTGTATGGAGTCTCTCTTCCCATTATATGCACAGTTCATGACAAAGACCTGTGCTTCCTCTCAGTTGTCCTTGGAGTACTGCCGATAAAATGGCCGCACCTCATTAGAGGAGACTGTTTTCCAAGTAAGGGATCACATATAGGATCCACAACAAAATGGCGCCGGCGGTCCGCGCATGCGCTGTAGGTCGGCAAGATGGCGCCGATGATCTGCGCATGCGCCGATAGCCGGCAAGATGGCAGGGCGCTTCAAATCGCTTTTTTCACTGCAGAATATAAATAGCACTAGCACAGATGCCCAGGCTGTAAGCCCTTATCCCTATGACTATGTGCAATGCACGAAACGCATCAGGGGGGGCAACAGCAACTGGACATCTAACCACAGCATACCCTGAATACATGGTCAGTAACTTTTGGAACTTTTTGAAAGTTTGTTTTTACCATTGCACCTATTATCCTTGAATAAAAAGGTACCTTAAGCAATATCACACTATGTGGTCTCTCATTGGCACTCTGTGTGAGTGTCATCATTCACAGTGCCCTTTTGGAGGATAGATGACCCTGATGGTGATACCTGGTAGCGGTTTCTGGTGACCTTTTCTGTGGAGCTGGGATAGTGACTCGTATGGTAACCTGACCCGAGATCTGATGACCTTTCTATAACCTGATGACGCAGGATTTATTATTGTGCATTCTAAACGCACATCTGGTGAGTGCGTTTTTTACCCATTCGTGTGGCTTGCACCTGTTGTCACTCCCGGATCAGGACGTCCACACACTTTGGAATTGTGATCTCTGATTGATCCACACGATTATTTTGAACTATATATATCACGATTAAAGGGTCACCTTAAGGTGATATCCTTAAGGTGATATCACCTATCCACATTTATTTGAAATTGCATGGCAGTATGTTTATTAATATGTATTACTATTTAGCGCTGCACCAACTTATTTGAACATATATACTATTGGAGGTTTTCTTTTGGTTGCCTTTCGGTGTATCAGCTGCTTATTTATTTGAATACATATATATGTGTGTATGTATGTGTACATATATATCTACATATTACATACATAATATATATATATATATATATATATATATATATATATATATATATATATATATATATATATATATATATACACACACACACACACATACACACATACATATATATATACACACACACATACATATACATACTCTTTGTTGTTCTTTTGGTAGCGCTCACTAAAATCTCTTCTAAAATTTCAGCCCTTCTCTTCCCATTCATCAGCGCAGGTGGAGCTGCACCTGCGGAGGAAAGTAATGTCTGACTCTGATGTCTCATGTGCGAGTGTGAACCAGCCAGCCAGACATCCATCACTTGTGCAATGTGTCAGTGAGTGATGACATCATTACGTTCCCACAGCCTGCTCTTCTAGTGCCTGCTTGGCCTGCTGAACTGTGTCAGTTTTGGTGGTAGTGAGTTGTGTCGGATCTGACACCGTGTGGGATCATTCAGTTCAGCTGCCTGCTGTCAGAGTGTTTTACCCCTCCTTTGCCTGGGGAATTCCAGCCTGGGATCTGTCAGAGTGCGGGAACCATCAACTTCCAGTCACTGCAACTACCACCCTGCCACTGCCAGCAACAGATCTAGTCCGTCCGTGACTGATAAATTTATTTTAATTTGCAAAAATAAGGGTCCTAAGATGCCACCAGCACCAATAATAAAGACAAAATCAGTTTCGTGTTTTGTTGATTTAATATGTTCTAGTGTTTTTAATTTTTTTTTGGGGGGGGGGGGGGGGGCACAAGTAGCAGGTCTTGCCTAGGGCGCAAAATAGTCTAGCATCAGTCCTGCTGAGCAACAAAATTCATTTTACCGTTTGGAATTGATGTGTGGCTCCTAAAGTTTGCTGAATTGTGTGTGGGAGGAACGGACCTCAGATGAGTGAGCACCTGTGAGATGGAGTTAAAGACTTCAGAGGTCTTAGGAACAGCCTCATCATTTGTAAGGAACATATCAAATTTGAGTATTTTGGGAATTTTGTTTCATTTTACTGCTGTTGTGAAGTCTTCAGTACAATACTTAAATTTATAATTTAAACTACAACTCGTGTATTCCCTGCCCTGGCTAACCAATACCCACATTTTCAGAGATCTTGCCAACCCTATGCGAGTCCTGTTCAATACAGTACAGATTGTTAGAAGATGAATATATAAAACTTGGTATTAGAATTGTTAGGATGTTGCCGGTATGTGACAGCTAAATTATGAATAACCCAATAAGACTATAATCTTTACAAAAATAGCAGAAGGTGTCTGAAAGTTGCACAGCCATTTAAAGCTGCATTCAGAAAAACAGAATACATACATAGTGAACTGTCTTATGTGCCAAACAATTTGTAATCTTGTTCTTCTTGTCTTGGGATACAGATATCCCTGCTAGACAACATAGCCAGGTCAGTGACCACACCTTTCATCATTACAGGTCAGCAATATAGCCTCGTCTGCTAAGTGGACAATGAAGGAGCATCATCACAGTAATGAACTTATTTAAGCTGCTTGGAGGAAATTGGATGAAATCACAGTCACAAATAGTAACATGAAAGAAAAACTGAACCCCTATCTTATTTGCATAACAGCAATTCTTCAGCATCCAGTGGTGCTCACTTTAACTTTAGCTCTGATCTCTTCCAAAGGGGCTTAGCAGAGTGATGTTAATACAAAGTCAATCTGAGTCTCTGCCTGAAAATGGATTCCCTTCTTTAGCAGAGACCATGTGTCTTGACCATGTGACAGGGCTTCAGAGAGTTTCACTTCTGGGCAAGAGTAAATTTTATTTTCAATCTGTGATTATTATTCTGTAGCATAAATGTGGCAGTCAAATTCTGTGAATAGCAGACAGCCTGAAAATTATGGGCAGCACAGTGGCTAAATGGTTAGCACTTCCACCTGGCAGTACTAGGGTTGTTGGTTTGAATTTTAACCACGGCACCACCTGCCTGGAGTTTGCATGTTCTCCTTGTGCCTGCATGGGTTTCCTCTGGGTACTCTGGTTTCCTCCCACACTCCAAAGACATGCTGGTAGGTAAACTGGCTCCTGTCTAAATTGGCCCTAGTATGTGTATGTACGAATGTGAGTTAGGGAACGTAGATTGTATGCCCCTTGAGGGTTAGGGACGGATGTGAATGTACAATGTAAAGCACTGCGTAAATTGACGGCACTATACAAATACCTAAAATAAACAAATAAAATTAGAGCAAAGTCAGACAGACAACCCCTACCCCACTCAATGCAATGCTAGGTGCCTATGTGGAATATTTAAAAGCCTGGGTATTGCCACATGGGATGCCAGGGTAGAAGGTGGGGGAAGATTGTCTTTTATACTTTAATCCTTGTGCAACTATGGCTTTCTGAAGGTTGAAGTCCATTAACTTTTGACTGGATGGAAAACAAAATGTAATTACTGTTGCTTTATGATGCATGCTCCTTTGTGCCAATGTTGCTTTATACTTTTTAAATGGTTTTCACTGGGGTACAGATAAGATCTGTAGATACATACAATTTTTATGAAGTAATATAAAAATGGTGTATATAATATATATTAGCAGGCAACAAAAATTAGGGGAGCACTAAAATGACCATGCTATATACAGTAAGCACAGGCTCTAAGTAGGTTCTAAAACATTGCACTGTAGTAAAATATCAATTTATCAATATCATTGCGTAAATGCCATGCAGAATAATAAAATTTGAATTAATATTTATGTGTAGTATTTTATATCCTGTAGCCTATACATAAGCCCACTAATGCACTGGTAGCCACAGCAAAAGAATACATCCTTACCTGTGTAAAGCCAAGTTTTATTCTTCTCTGCTTGAATGTTTTAGCAAACTTTTCCAGTTCTTCTAAATCACTGGGTTCATCTGGAGCAACAGATATGTGTTTTGGAGGATGCAAATGCTGTCCTATTTCCAAATGAGGTTCTACAGAAGAACCTGAAAGGCCGGGCCGTCCAACTGCCTATGTCAAAAGCACAAATTGATTAATGACATTTGGTCTCTAGCACTATTGTAAATGTTGTCCAAATTGGTTTTATCTAGATATGTAAATATGGCATGCAAGAAAGGTACCATACCTGGTTAACCAGGCTCATTCCAGTTTGAGACTGCAATGAACCACCTTGTTGATGAGGCAAAGCAATTAGATTTGGTTGAAGAAGACCTAAAATTAGAAAAGAAAATCTTACTTTAGTATAACATCATTAAAGAGGTTCTAAAGTCAAAACACTTTTTTTTACCCTAATGCATGCTCTACATTAGAGAATGTTACCCCAACATTTCACATTCCTGATATTTGCATGCTGTACCATGATATTTGTATCATGCTCTTTGTATTGCTTGTACAATGTACTTGTATAAAAAGTATCCTGTTCTCTTTGTATTGCTTCCTTTGTGTGAAATCCCTGGTGATCCTGCCAGTCCCTCTGCTTTTCTATGAAAAAACTGACTACACTAAGCATGAAAGCACAGTGTGGTTAGTTCTCCAGCTGTGCTGGAAACTCAGTGTGCTCTCCAATGATCAAACTTGTCCTGATACACAACCCTCTGCACAGACATTCGCTGGGAAGATTAGTGTACTGCTGTTTCTCCTCCCCCAGCTCTCTGAGCTCCTGCTGAAAACAGAGGGTATGTAATCATTCATTTAAAAAAGGTATTTATAATGTTTTTTTGTATACACAAATGTTTGTTTTATCTTTCATTGTTAAACAAAATGAGGGTTTATATACACTATATTGCCAAAAGTATTGCGACACCCCTCCAAATCATTGGATTCAGGTGTTCCAATCCCCTCCATGGCCACAGGTGTATAAAATCAAGCACCTAGGCATGCAGACTACTTCTACAAACATTTGTGAAAGAATGGGTTGCTCTCAGGAGCTCAGTGCAATAAGTCCATCTGTGAAATTTCCTTGCTAATAAATATTCCACAGTCAACTGTTATTGGTAATATAACAAAGTGGAAGCAACTGGGAACAACAGCAACTCAGCCATGAAGTGGTAGGCCATGCTGAAGCGCACAATGCGCAGAAGTTGCCAACTGTCTGCAGAGTAAATAGCTAAAAGAACTCCAAAAACATTGTGTGGCCTTCAGATTAGCACAACAGTGTGTAGAGAGCTTCATGGGATTGGTTTCCATGGCCGAGCAGCTGCATCCAAGCTTTACATCACCAAGTGCAGTGCAAAGCACCGGATGCAGTGGTGTAAAGCACGCCACCACTGGACTCTAGAGCAGTGGAGACATGTTCTCTGGAGTGATGAATCCCGCTTCTCTGGCAATCCGACGGACTTGTCTGGGTTTGGCGGTTGCCAGGAGAACTGTACTTGCTTGACTGCATTGTGCCAAGTGTAAAGTTTGGTGGAGGGGGGGATTATGGTGTGGGGTTGTTTTTCAGGGGTTGGGCTTGGCCTCTTAGTTCCAGTGAAGGGAACTCTTTGGGCGTCAGAATACCAAAGACATTTTGGACAACTTAATGCTCCCAACTTTGTGGGAACAGTTTGGGGATGGCCCCTTCCTGTTCCAACATGACTGCGCACCAGTGCACAAAGTAAGGTCCATAAAGACACAAATGAGTGAGTTTGGAGTGGAGGAACTTGACTGGCCTGCACAGAGTTCTGACCTCAACCCGATAGAACACCTTTGGGATGAATTAGAGTGGAGACTGTCAGCCAGGCCTTCTCGTCCGACATCAGTGCCTGACCTCACAAATGCTCTTCTGGAAAAAGAGTCAAACATTCCCATAGACACTCCTAAACCTTGTAGACAGCCTTCCCAGAAAAGTTGAAGCTGTTATAGCTGCAAAGGGTGGGCCAACTCAATATTGAACCCTATGGACTAAGACTGGGATTCCATTAAAGTTCATGTGAGTGTAAAGGTGGGTGTCCCAATACTTTTGGCAAGAATGAATACTTTAAAGTGTTACTAAACCCAGGATCCTGCATCCACTATATCTGGTCTCCCAAAATACACAGAACATGGAAGTGCAATTATTTTAGTAAATATAAACTGCTAAACACTTTTTCTCATCAGCAGTTGGATCAGTCTTGTGACTTCTATCAGTGTTCAGCAGAGAACTGGTTAAAACTTTTAGGAGGAGGAGTTTTTTCTGTTCTAGGAGGATGAAAAACCCTTTACCTCTGTCTGGACAGTGCTGATTGGCCCTGTGCTGATCACATGCACTCTCCCAAGAGTGATAAGGAGATAAGACGTGGACATTTGAACAAGAGGAGGAGCAGAGAAGTCAGGATCAAACAGCCTTTTTACACAATGTATAGGATTAATCCCTTAGGTTCCACAGTGAGTATAACAAGCATGCTTTACTGCATATACAGACTGATTTTACTGTTGTGGGTTTAGTAAAACTTTAAAAGGTAAAAAAAAAAAAAAAAAAAAAGAAGAACTCCCCACTACTGGTTCTCTCCTTCCCATCTATATAAACTTATAGGCAGCTGTGGAAGCATGCAGTGCGTTCCTATGTGATTCATAGCATGAACTGGGGCTTAGCTTGTATGCTGAACAAAAAGAATCTATATGTGTATGGCCAGTGCTGCTGATATTACACACCTTGTAGAAAAAGCGGTAGCTAAAGAGAAAATGCTGTAGGAAATTGTTTTCCCTCTATATAGCTTTTTCTTTCTGCATTGAAACATCATTGCAGCAGGCAACTGCAGTATCCTAACCAGTGCGGTCACACTATTCAAAGACTTAGTTTAATCAACATAGTTAAGATGTAATAAAATTGTAGTCATTGAAAAGAAAAAAAGAAACCAACGCTTCCCGTAGTATCATGTAACACCATCCCCATCTGTCCCTGGTCCCAAAAGAACCTTTCTTCCAATACCTTCAGAAGTTGGAGACAAGTTATAGGTTTGTTCATATAAGTTATAATATATGGCCTTTGTTAAACCACCATTTTACTTAACTTTCCCATCAAACTCTTTTCATTTACTGTGTATACTGTGCAGAAAACAAAATAAAATCCCTGTGATTCAATGTAAACATATTCACAAATATGTTACTTAATAAAATAAACCTATATATGGCTCTTTTCTGTACAAATGTGCAGTCCCTGAAAAAAAAACAGCAACTTCAAGGGTTCCCAAGGAAGTCTGCAGTGCTAAAGCACATAGCCAGTGATGTCATCAGGTTTGCGAGGAATGCACTCAACTTTCAAAAGAATAGAAGAGTGAGAGGGCTGCGCCCTTTCATGTTGTTGGATAAAGCATTGCATATTCTAGGTGTGATGTCAATTTGTTTTACATGTAATTAAGAGATTTTATGCTATTAGCAAACTTCTCTCTTTTTGACCTATGATGCTGAGGCACTGAGTGTGTAATGGATTGGCAAGATCAAAAACAAGAAAAGCGGTTTTGTCTCTCAATATGGAAAAGTACAAAATTACCTTTTTTATTTAATAAAGACCAAAAGAATCTGGTAAGTCAATTCAAAAAAATGGGATAGCATGGTGGTGGGGAAAGTTCACAGCCAAGTGTCATTTTTTTTTTAACAACTTGTAGGATTCACATAGGACATTGAAGACTTGTGAGTGCTGCAGGTTATTATATTATTACTATTATACAGGATTTATATAGCGCCAACAGTTTGCTCAGCACTTTACAATATAACAGGAGACAATACAGCAACAATACAGTTCAATACAAGAGGGTTAGGATGGCCCTGCTCCTTGGAGCTTACAATCTAAGAGTTATTGCAAAGACCGCACTATTCATACAAAGAAGTGGAAGTTTTTGCTTTTTTGATAGTGCACTATTATGCTTAAAAATGATACATAAATGACTTCCAATGAAATAAACTTTGTTATGTTTGCAATGGGATTTCTGTTTGTTTTGTGAATGAATGGTCTGGTGACAGGGTTTCTTTAACCAACACGCTGCCATCATATCTGCTACCAAATTATATATTACTGGGTTTACACTGGTGTGGTGCGGAATTCGCTCCGGTTTCTGTGCGATTTGCGCACCGCATCATAATCCCACCCCATTGATATTATCCACTGTGGGTTTGTATTTTAAGTTAACACCCCAAAATCAGTTCGCAAAACGCAGTGCAATGTGCAGAATCAGATCACATGGGTGTAAAAAGCCATGCAATCCGATTTGAGTGCAGACTAAAAAAAGGGTCCTCAACTTTTTTGGTGTAGATGTGGTGCGATTTGAGCCATACAAAATGTATGGCTCAAATTGCACCACACAGAAATCACATGTGATTTTCACAGGAATGCAGTGCGGTTCCTATGCGAATCACATGCCATGTGCCGCACCGCATGAGTGTGAACCTGGGCTTAAACTTGTCTTAATGCATCCGTATTTTGGATATCTTTGTAACTTGGAAGTAGCATATAATGTTCCCCAGATGGTGGCACTGTAACACCATCTTGCTATGCAGTACAGTATTATATTTGCAGTTTGGTTCTGGAATTCTTGGAAAGAAAGGAATGCCACTGATCAGGATTCTACCAAATAAGCATGAACAGGTAATCTAGATTTTATTTAGAGTAAAGTTTTCCACTACCTGCCATTTTAGCAATAGGTCTAATATGTGAAGTAATAAATACAGAGGAAAAATAAATTGTTAATTTACTCAACAGTGCACAAAAAATATAAAACACGCAAAATAAACATAATTAGACTTCACTTGCTCCTGGTGGATGGATGGCCTTTATTTTCAGTCCACAGGATTGTGGGGTTATGCTAAAATTGAAAGGCACAGAATCCCCTTAGGCTGTCAGTTCTTTATTGTCACCTGTCATTTCACTACACTACGTTTCTTATTGGAGGAGATTGCAGAAATGGCACCAGAATATACTTAGACACTTGACCTACATTGCAGTGCACAAGGTAACTCATTGCTGTGCATTGCACTGTGCTATGCCTGGGAAAGAGTAAGGTCCAAATTTTCTGTGTGCTGCCTGGAAACGTGTTTGCGGTAAGTCACTGCAAAAATGTGATGGGGCCCTGAAAAGTTGGCTCCCTCAGGGTTCATTTACACTTGTAGTGCCCCCTCAAGAGTGATCCATGGTGGATCGCTCTTTAGAAAGCAATAGACAGGCGACATAACTCATTCTCACTGCCTTTTTTACCCCTAAAAACCCTCAGCACCATGCCACAACCTCATGCATTGCACATGGTTTCAGTGCAACCCCT